TCGATCCAGAATTCTCAGTAATGAATTGTGCTTTTTCTTGCTTGGTAATCTTTTCCTTGAAGCGTAAATTCTGAATATGAAAATTATGCGGAAAATATTTGTACATCGTCCTGTTTTGGACGACTTATGCCATTCTACTAGAAAGCCGTAGGAGCGTTACGTAATTGATTCAATTATGATTAAAAGTTGCATGACTCTAGAAATTTTAAACTAAAAACCTTAATGTTGCAAATCCTCTTCTTTACTTCCTTACTATCAACTGACTTGCAGTAAAATAATTGAAAAGGTGAAATAACAGGATATATTTTGAGGCAAAATTGCACAATTTCTGCGGTAATATCTAGTGTGAATCTGATCGATGCTTAGGCTAAAGCTATTGAATCACAGGAAGCGATCACGTCTTAAAACTTCCTGCAAATTTCTACTTTACGACAAAAAGAATTACGTAATTCGACAACTGAAACAAATTAAAGTGCATAAACCTAGATATAGCGAAAAATTTCGAACCTATGACAAACCAATGACTAGTTTGTTTTCTCAGGCTGACTTTTCATATCATTTAGACAAATCTTTCAAGATTTACGCAGGGTTAGGCTTAATAAAAGTCTAAGAGGAAAAAAAAACTCAAAAGTGCGTTGAAGCCGAGTCTAAGTCATGTTATCTTATGTGGTAGAATCCGTCGCTTGTAGTAAAGTATTGCAATCTGAACACCGAACATACTAAAAGTATTTCATTCCGTTGCTTTGGCTGTTTCATCTTAAACAGAAATGCAACTAAGACTTAGATTTCATGTGAGTACCGATTCGGGTTTTAGCAGCCGAATCTTACAATAAGTTACATAGCAAAAGCCGTTTCACTGTCATATGTGTGGTTAAAGATGGCAATCAGATTCACAGAAAACAAGCCCTTCGTGGGCCATTTCACATTTTCTAGTACCTGTATTTTATCACCTCTTCCTTCGCTTCTTTACATTACACAGTAATCAAATGACACTGTTTCTGACCCGAATTATTTCAAGTATCGGAATTGCATACTCTTGTATTAAGCCTTGCAAATCAAACCTACAGACCATTAAACTTTATACAGTTCTATCTTTCATGTGACGGCTCATATTCTATTCCAGTTGAAAAACAAATAACATGAAACGTCAGTATAACAGTTCAAATGTAGCGGTTCATTTTCTAAAATTCGCAATGTATTATTGGGTCGTTGTATCTCGAAAGGAATTCATTCCGCAGTGGGTACGTTATCTTTAGTCTTAATGGTTTAATCATTCGAATTGATAATTTTGCGAAACAAACAGTCTTTAAACATAGAATTCAACTGAACCATTGTTTTTGCCTCAAAAACGTGTCTTGAATGTCGCTGATTCAAAGGCAAAGTCAAAGCCGCGAAGCAGCAGAAGCGGATTTTCCTTCACGCTCATTAGGTCATACATGATACGGATTCAGAACATCCCCTCTCACCACCCGACTGAAAATCTGAACAAAAAATTAATAACGAACGCAGTGGATTTTCTGAGCGCAGATGTTTCTTTTCATTTTTACTAACTATTTTTTCAAGTCAAAACAGAGCATAAATGCAAAAGTTGCTTTCACGCGGTGTTCAATATCATGCCTTGAACATGATGAAGAGAGCATAAATTCCCAGCATGTTTCGCCTTCAACGCCCGAGATAGCCTACTGACTAAAAGATAAACTAACCACAAACGAGTTTTATATTTAAAAATTGTGTTTTTTATCTCTAGTTGTTGATGCTGCATTTGATAGAGTGTGAGGGCGAAAATCGACATGTTCAGCGACGCCATTTGATGTATTACGTAACATGCTCGCGAGCTTTCAAAGTTACCTTGCGTTCGGCATTCGTTTGGAATAAGAAACGCTACAATGGCTTATTTCCACCCAAAAATAATAATTTATGGATTATTGCCCACTCTTTTTCACTCGCCAATGCGTTTAGCAACATTTTCTGAGATTTAATCGGCTATGCAAAGAGACTTTGGGCTAACCTTAGCACCCCTCAAGATGTAAACTTTTTATTTTGTGCACAAAAATTACAGGACACCATCAGTTTTTTGTTTATTTCACGTTTTGATTTAATCCCCCTATAAACAAGCTAGGCGATCCATAAATTGCCAGAAATCAATTTTTCTGTCTAAATGATCTAAGAACCAACGATGTACAGGGGGAAGAAAATATTGCAAAAGGAAAACTGGGGAACGTATGCATGTAGAGCAAAACATGTTGTGTATCAAGGCGCTCATTTCGACCGAAATTGTTCTTGCCTTCTAGATCGATAATAATTGCATTCAGGTTCATCAATATGCTTAAATAGAGATCTTAAAAAAAAAAAACATACGACTTACCTGTAAACGACTTCAAATACCGAAAGATGACGATAAGGAACATTGCCGAAGCCTTCAAAAACTAGCGAGTTCAAGGTTTTATGAACATCAATCCTTCCCCAATTCTGCACCAGGTTAGAATTTAACGCAGAATTCAGTTCGGATTAATACAACACTGCACAAATTTCATCTTTATTAACAAGTTTTACACAATTTTCCACTATATATTCAACTTGCCCACGTAAATTCACAGCCCCCCTTTTTCAGTTTTTTACGCCTTCATTTCAGTTTCACGCGTGCATTGACTCGTGAAAGCCACGAACAGCCGTTTAATACCAAGAGTAGTTATTTTTTTATACATCTGAAAGCACATTCCCGACTGTATTTCATATTGCCTAGATAAATTAGAGCTATGAGAGTAAAGTATGGGAATTTTTGGTCCGATTCTTTGATCTGAAAGTCACATTACGTAACGAGGTTGTAAGAGAGTTTAAAAAATTACGTAACATACGTTTTTATCTTAAACCATTACGCAACTTCTGTCAAAGATTTTTTTTACCAAAAAAAAAAAAAAATTGACTACGCGGACGCACTGCTACGTTGTCGATGAATCATTCATGTTATTGCCAAATTAAACTTGACAAGGTTTAGGTAGTAGTCTATAAAATGTTCATTGTTCTTAGCAGGTTCCCAAACGTGCAGTCTACACGCGCCGCACGTGAGCTTTGTCAAAAACGTGCAATGTAATAACTAGCCACGTGGCTATTGACCTTCCCACGATCTAAGGCTCCAATGATGTTAGAGAGGTCGCGACTTTTCATAACCTTCCATCCTCCAGGAATGCAATCCAACGCAACTACCTTGTTACCCTTGAAATGCTAATATATTCACGAGCTTTTCAGACATTTTAACTGGATTGCAATTCATTGGGTCAGTCGTTACAAAGATTACATGCGATGGCATAACCCAGTGACCTTTCACGATCATGAAAAATGCAAATTTTTACCTTCTGAGTTAAATTTGTACATTGAACACTGCAAAGGATGCAGCAACTTACAGAACCTGATAAAGGAGATATTTTTGTTATATATGCCTCAAATCTAACCTTTGACTTCTATTTATGTTTAAAACAAACATAAAAAATTCGTCGATAATTTTAATGAATCACCCATATGCATAAGTATTCTTTCTTTCACAGTTTCATTTGATTTGAGATTTTGGTTTGCTTGATAAAAGTAAGCTCCCAGCTCACCGATCTTTCTTCAAGCGAAGATGGAAATATTTTTTTTAGTTCTTGATATATAATATATATATATTTTTTTAAATTTAAGAGCACCGTAATTCACATCAATGATAAATTTGAAATTTTTGTATTTTATCATGGTGATCATTTGTTTTTTCTCAAAAACCTCGCGGCAACTTGAGACTTTATCTTTGGAAGCAGAGGGAAAAAGAAATTACGATGTGCACTTCGGAAGTCCGCGAACGTAATACTAAAAAAACAGTCTCAATGCCTTCTCTTGAGTGAACTCTCGTGTAAAACTATATGACTCTTTGAACTTGAATTTGATTGATAGATTTCATTCAGAGCAGATTAAAATGTATCAATCCGGTACATTCTTCCCTTAAATTTACCCCACTTAGAAGAAGCGGTAGTTATTTTTATTCAGAATCCTCTGAAACCTATAAATAACATTCCGACCGTTATCCGAGAAGTCAATATATTGGAGAAAAGTGGCACTCGACAAAACAAATCTATTCAGGCGACAGAATTTATCCAATTTAGTCGAAGCTTCAGGGTTTAAAAGTTGTCCCCGCCTACCAATTACTTTCCTTCAATCGACAACACAATTCTCCTCAGTATTCAGTTTTAAACTCATATCTTTTAATTTTACGCGGTTAAAGTTTCAGTGAATGTATTTATCTCAAAAATAGAACTTTGCACGTGAGGTTCTCGTGAGTTGGTTTTCGAAGGCATGTTTGTAACATACACTCTCGTGCGTCGGCAATAAGAATTCACCTGCGCCCGGTCATAAATCCAATGTTTTGAGACTGAAGGCGTTAATGCGCAATTAATCTTGTTTATGGCTCATTCAAAGATGAATTAAAACATTCAAGATTTCTCTTTGAGTTGTAACATATATTCGTCTAAGCGCATAAAAACGCTTTTTTTCGTAATCAGAGTATTAGAGATAAACGTTTAAGAACATATCATTCTTTAGTAAAATGTGTCAACAACATTCGGTGTCAGTCCATGAATGAATTGGTCAAGGAAAAATTTTCAATGTTTCCCTTTTCATCTTCCGCATAGTTTTATGTTTTGTTAAACTGAATATACGGCTTTATGATTACAATTTTTTAGCGGGTACACTTAACACTAAATACAGCAATCCATTTACGATCGCCATTTAAAATCTAGACAGGAAGCAATTTGAAACTTCCACCTCTTCGTGAATTTATCAGCTAAGTAGTTTACAACAGCATTGTAATTTTCCACAATTGAGCAAGTTGCCACTTGACTGAAATTCACGAGTAAGCGAGTGTGTATGATTTATTACCAAACACGTGTGTTGATGTGTATATAACGAATAAAGGCAAGGTGCCCTCAGCTGTCTTCCACAGTGACAGGCGTGAACACAGCGAAGAGAAGAAAGGATGTGTGAAATCAGTTCAAGAACGATCGTAGCGGAGCAAACTGAAGAGTTGAAGGTTCCTTCGCGAGTTTAAATCTCTTCCCAAGCGAAGAAGACAACTCGAAGAATGGAGAAAAACGCGAACGAGTACAATTTACCTAATCGATCAGACGCCACAATCGCATTGGAATCAACGATTGCTATTTTGATCACGATTTTTGCAGTAGTTGGGAACGGACTGATAATCGCAGCGTTTCGTAAAAACAAAGTCTTACAGACCATTCCAAACTTGCTGGTGGTGAATTTATCGATTGTGGATATTCTTGCCTCATTAACTACACACCCGTTGCTGGCCTCTGTTATGATTCAGGGAGCTTGGCGCCTAGGAAAAGAAGTTTGTGATTACCAAGCGATTTTAAACTCATTTTTATTCACCACTTCGCATCTTAGCATAACCCTAATAAGTCTAAATCGTTATTTTGTCATCGTTCATTACAAAAAATACACCAAGGTATTTTCAAAACGGTTGACGCTCTTATATCTGATGTCCATTTGGATGTGTTCGTCTCTTCTTTCCCTCTCGTATTTGCTGACTCAGGCGGAAATGACGTTTCACGGCAAGGAAGCAGTTTGTGTTGTTTTGAACAAGAGCGCAGCACCTCAGTCCGTCATAACAGTTGTATTTGGGAACATCACTTTCTTGGCAACGGTGTTCTTCAACTCTGCGATTTTCAAATTGGTGCGATCCCATCGGAAACAAGTTTCTCTTTCATTTCATAGCAGCACTTTTCAAGATGGTAGTGAAAATCTCGAAGGAAACAGAAAGGCGTGGAAATCAAGTCCACCTCGTAAGCGAAGCCGACAGGTTATGAGGAACGAAGATTTCTACATTGCGAGAAAAATCCTTATTGTGACAAGCTTCTACACCCTTTGTTGGTTACCTCAAGGCATACTAAAAAACACAAATTTAGCAAACGTGGATTTTTCGCGCGTAATTTGGATGGCATCCACATTCTGTAGTCATCTTAGCTCTGTTTTGAATCCCATACTGTACGGATTGCTAAACAGAAAATTAAGGAAAACCATATTGAAAATGCTTCGCATGAACAAACACCGGGTGATTAATATTCACACCAGAGAGGCGCCGTCTGGAAAATTTAAATCGACCAAGAAGGTTTTTACTGTCACTCAAGTACTGGATTGAGGAGTATCTTTAGAAGATACATTAGGCTCGGAATAATTTGCTCTTGTTTTACTGTATTCACATTAAAATGTACGTTTAATTCAGATTGAGAATCGCAATTGCATAGGAAAAACACTAAAACTCTCCCAAGTAGAAAACTTAAACAATTCAAGAGATTTAATTGCATGTAAATCTTACCAGCCAACAATTAAGGCGTCTAACTGTTCGAGTCTGCGATTACTGTACTCTGCAAACAATTTAAACCCATTAAAAAGATGGAGATGTTGACAAAGATCGATAACGAAAAAAAAAACTGAGGCATAATGTGCTCGTAGAAAAACGTGAACTTACAAGTGGCAACGTGAGAAGGGAAGTTATTTGTAACCGAATTAGTAATTTTTTTGCAATAAAATGGTGAAGGAAAAAAGTAACTTAGTTAATTTTTTTTAGTGTAATGCTCTGGTTTTTTTCTGACTAGCGACTCTGTTTTAAAAAATAAAATAGATTAAAATAGCTCTGTTGTAAGTAAAACTTTTAATACTTGGGTGTTGTCATAGCAGAACAATTAAATTGATTTTTTACACCGGTTTTCTGTTCCACTCCATTTCTCAGCATAGATACCTTACGTTTGTCGCAAACGAGATTCTTTAACTGAAGTAAGTTTCCATCCCTGATGAACCATGAAAATTTCTGCTCTCACTGCAGCTTTACAAACGACTCGTACTTAAAGCAATTTTAAATTCCATTAGTTTTGCACTAATACGTTCTGTCATTGGTCCAGAAAACTCGCGCCAGCTCCTTAGCTTAGTGATCAGATGCAAAACTTAGCAACTTAACTTTTCATGCAGCATCATGTTTGAAGAGTATGTTTGACCGTTTCGCTGCTTTTCTTTATTTTGTTCTCAGATGGATCCCCATGTTTAGTCTAAATCGAAACATATTCATTTAGAATTTTGTTTCTCGAGCAAATGGGTTGATCGCCCATCGTTTAACTATCCCAAATTAAGTGCAAAAACACGATATTGATCGGAAACATTACTGAGATTAGTTAGCCGCCAATAGTACTGGGACCATTAGAAATCCCATCTAAGTCATACTGTTGGACCTTTGGGGGTTGGCTAAGTCGCCAAGCTGAACCAGAGGCATAGAAACCCGAACTTGTTAGATAATCGTCGTCATCTGTTTTAACTGCAATACGCCACTTGCTAGCGTTAAATTTTATAGCTTCAACGATTTGTTTATTTGAGAAAGGTAGACTGAAGCGACAGTATTTTAATAGCTTACTTTTTAAACGACCCTGGTTTATTCCCCTAATCTTTCCGACGCATATCCACTTACGACCGAAAAGTAAATTTTGTCAAAATCTAATATCACACATATCACATGCAAAAGAAGTGTTGGACCTTTCAAACAAATAGAAGTCTCCTAAATTTATGTGAGGCTTACCATCGCAGAAATCTTATTTCTGCGGGTTTTCAAAGCATATTAATCAGACATCAAGTAATAAAAATCCTGCCAGCAGTGGCGTGATTTCATTGTACATCTCGTGCACGGTAAATTACAGGAGCCCATTAAAGATTGGAAGTAATAGATGATGTCTAAGATTGAAAGAGTTTCTATTGTAAATAGCTAATTACAAGGCAGAAATAAATAGAGAAAAAGGAAATAAAAACGGGAAGCACAAATGGAAACGTGACACTTAAGAATATGCAGATTGCTGAAAATGGCTTTTTTCCTCGAAATCACACGGCGATAAGAAAAAAAAAATGGTTTGGCTGGACTTTGTACCCTACCCAAGTAAAAAAATGGTTTTGTCCTCTCTTTAAAAATTGCACTCATCAGATAAATTAAAATTTATGTATGAAGGACCAAATATTTTGGACTCAAAAAAAAAAAAACTGTTACCGGTCTAAGAAGAACGTTGTATCCAGCTGTATACACTCCGTGTGATATGTTAATTTTCACGAGGAACAAAAGCTATTCCTAAAACTTTCAGGTCGCCGACAAAAATTTCTATTTTCATTGTGAAAAGCCAAAACAAGGTTCATAAATAGTTTTATTTTTAAAAAAAAATACAAATAGAACTAGAAATTCAGAAAATCGAATTTATATGAAACATGTTAAATGACCTCCACTGTTTCTCACATGTCAACATAACAAACTGCGGCATAAAACAGGAACTGAAAATATTCAAATTAACTTAAAAAAAAAATGCTATAGAACGCAAGAAATGCAAAATGTAAACAACATGATGGCAAAAATAACTTTGCAGAAGTCGTAGCTTACTGGATTTAAGTTTTCACATGGGGAAACCATCAAATAACATGATAATAACAATGCAAGATGGTCTGGTTTTGTGAATGTCCACCTGAGAGATTGAGAGTATGTTTACATGCAAACGTGCGTGGAACATCATGGCCTAATTATTGGCGCGCAGCTTGGTTCGAGTTAGGGCCAGTTCTCTCGTTCAAGACTTTATTTGTTGATACTTAATATTTGCTTTACAGCTAAATAGAGAAAAAACACCACAATACCCGTGTAATTTGGTTGTTTACTATCGTCGTAGATTTCTTCGGAAAACCAACAGAACTGCATTTTAGCTTTCTTTCAACATGAAAGATCCGCATCAATATCAGTATCTAGGCAACTGCCCACCTACCCCTCCCCTAACCCAATAACAAGTTAGGGTTAATGTTGGGTTAGGGGAGGGGTAGGTGGGTAGTTGCTCAGATACTGATATTGATCCAAAGATCCTTATAATAACACAGTGAACTGAATGCAGAAACATTGATCATAGATGGAACTCGAAGCGGTAACAAGAACGAGCGCATGGTTAGCCACAGTCGATACAGTTTTGGACTCGGCCTCTTAAACACCCAGTAACTTTGTTTAGGTTTAGTTGAGCGTGAGAACTATTGAACCTCATTTCTTATATCAGTACAAGTGATGCAGAACGAAATGAATTAAAACACTCTAGCTTGGTTGTTGTTAAATTGTTATCATCAGCAATGTAAGTCTCTGGCAACCTAAACAAGAACTTTGGTGTGTGAATTCAAAGAGCTCAGTTTGAATTCAAAATTTATCTACACTTAAATTGAAACAAAAAAAAATAACGGAAAGCAGATGGCACTACTGGAAAACCAGGGAGCTTCTGACGTGGAGAAACGTTGAGCCTAGACAAAAGAAGAAAACACAACACCAGAGCTAGGTACCGTTATTGACGAATCTTTGACCTTCCCTTCCAAACAAATTTTACCCACAACTGCCTATATGAGTTTCTAACGAAAAAAAATCATTAAGTTGTCTATAGGCCAACTGCACGTGTTGACAACGTGCGAGCACGTGTATAAGCAATAATTTAACACCGCCTTGTGATAAGGAAGCAGTAATTGATCAGATACAGGAAACGATATCGGAACTTATACGAGATCCAGAAAACATTAACGGTACGATGAATTTCGTTAGGGATGTAATAATTGACCACTATTCACCGAAGAGCATTTGAATAACTGCATAGCTCTATATACCACACAGAAACACCTAAAATAGCTTATTTCTGTCAATGTACCGAAATATGGATCGACCCTCGATTTGTTTCTCCTGCTGCGCGGTGAATTGTATATGTACTTATTAATCACTTCCGAACCAACCAAACAGCGCGCGGGAAGAGCACTCATTTACCTGTGTGGTATACACTAATACGCCCTAACAGCTCCTACCTGGTCCGCTTTCGTTTACTTAGTTGCGCTTAATAGACCGTCATTATTACAATCTGCGAGATATTTTCAGCACTAAGTGCCATATTATCGTGAATTAAACTGGTAGTTCTGATACGCGTGAGTTTACCTAACACGTGAAGGCGAACGCACGAACCTTGCTTTCACGGGATAGTGTTTACAACCATGCAAACCGAGTGGGGACTGGGGTGCTCACAAATGAGGAAGGTGTCAATGATTAGGGTTTAGGCGCGGTTTTAAGCCTTAGTATGCTCCTTTCGTCGAGTTTGATGGAATGTCATGCTCTCCAGTTGGTCACAGGTCTTAAAACAAGAGATTTCTTCAACTAGGTTTCAAAATATAAAGATTTAGAGCTGATTTTTAAAGGCTGGTGATTTTATTTTTTTCCTAACCGTCTACTTCGAATTTATTAACTACGAAAACCGAGGAAGAAAACAGGGAAGTGTTCCTTGTTGTAATTTAACAATGTTAACGAAGAAAGAGCGTTCAATGGCTTTGCTCGCTCCATACATTATGTGATGTAAGTTATTGCGTTTCTGTAAAAGCCAAAGATTCGTGAATCTTTGATGTCAGTAAAATATGCTACAATTACATAAAATAAGAGTGGAGACTGGGGCAAAATAATATGGTGGGGACTGGGGCAAGTGGTGTGTCTTAAAAGGCGGTAAATTTTAGGGAAGAACATAAGCCGCAAGTGAGTACGATATAAACTGGCTGAATAATTCAAAAGCCATCCGATGCGTTAGTTCTGCGTGGAGAGAAAAAAAAACAATGGTTTAAGAAGCAATTTATGTTTTGAATGGACTAAAATTACTCGCTGGTTAAGTTAAAAACATCCGTTCTTATAACACGGAAATGTTCATTTCTTCAAAACCGTAACGATCGATATATCTATTTTTAACTCAGATTGCTTTATTTCTGATGAAAGAAAACAAATGAAACGTCGGAGCTTTTAAACAGGCACATAGCAGATTGATCAAAACAACGAAAAATTACCTTTGACTTGATGGTTTCACGGTAGATGCAATGAAAAAGATATTTGAAAAAGAGGTAACAGACTCCTCACAGAGTCTTGCTAGATAATTCTCTCCGGCGAACCTTCGAAAATTTGAAACCTAGAACGTTTTAAAAAATATTTCACACCGCTCCATTGTTTGGACAGTGTTTCCACAAATCTCGCTGAAGAAACTTCTAGATTGACGCTTATAATTTAACGACTCGTAGGCGAGTAAAGAATGAGGAACTTTGGGCTAATTTCACAAACAGCAAACAAGTTTATATGAACCTAAATGGCGACAGAGGCATCTAGCCTTTTCGTAATAAAACTGAGTGCTCTGCAGTGATTAAGCGATGCTCTTTAACGAGAAAACGACTGCAGAGGCGAAATGAGTTGAAATATTTACCACCAAATGGCGACGTAAAAATATCAACAAAGCTCTCAACTTTAAGTTAATGCAAAAGTAAAATTACAATTCAAAGTTCGTGGAAAAAAAATTTGGTTCAGGATTAAACTCGTTAATACATTCACTCGCGTCATAAGGATTGCAGAATCAGGCGCAGATGACGAAGTCTCATTATTAAAATCAGTCATTATGCACGTCGAAATTGGTCAATTCAGCGGAACGCACTTTGCTAAACGGCCCGCTTTAATTTAACACTGTCTTAATTTTTTGGGGCAAAATTTCACTTTCTTTATCCCCACACCATTCTGTTCACGAGCAATTTAAGATTTAAATATTTCACGCCCTAGATAAAAGGCTAAACAGGTATTTCGATTCTGCTTAACTAGAAATCACTTTCAAAACCAGCTTTACAAGCAATAAAGATATAGTTAATATCTTCGCGATTCCGCCAAACACACATTAAAGGTGTAATGAATACCTCACAAGCCTTACTGCAAATTACAGACTCTCTTTTCTTTTCCTCTTTAATAAACCCAAGAAGAAAATACTCGGTTTCACCAGGAACCGCGCGGCCGTCTAGTTAGGGCGGCATTTGAATAACAGTCGACGTTAATAATAACGTTACGTTACATTAACTGAATCCGTGTGTTTATCCCCGATCTGTACCATCGTCGTTCTCCTTTCATATTTTCTTTCTCTTTCGGTGTTATTGTTCCTTACCAAACTAATATCTTGACGTTTCATTCGCGTACAAAGTGATTTGAACGCCGAAACAAACGACTCAAAATGGGGCGACCGTAACACCTTTTACATTGTCCTATTTCTCAACAAGATGTCGAGCGTCTCTTTCGTCTTCACAACTCGCGGTATTTTTATTTGATTAGCCGCCGCAGGATTGTTGCGGAGCAGATATTGTCGCAGTTCGCAAAATGTTCCTTCTCTAACTGCGAAGAGTTTTAAGCAAGATATGCTTCCCTTGCGTCTAAACGACTCATAAACAGGACTGAATCTACATAACGCCTCGTCGATCTAAGATGTGGGAAACAAAAGAATAAAATTCCAATTAGACGAAAGGAAACCACCAGAAAACGTGGGCAATATTGCAGAAGAGACACGAAATGTTCAAAAGAACGACGCGGCATGAAAAGCCACTGAAAAAGGGAAAAAATTCTGTGATTGAAGGATACATCAGTAACGCATACTTTCGTGATTTGTCCGGTCATAATAGTTTGCTTAACTTTCAACTCAAAAAAATGTTAGGATTTTGAGAGCTTGCGAATAATTTTCCTGTTGACCAGCGCGCGCTGAATGAATGGTTTTCGTTAAGGAAAATGGAAGAGTGACGATGTGTTCACCCTTATGGTGGAACATCAATATGAATATTCTCCCTAATGTTCTTCATACATTTCTTAGGGTACTGACAAGGAGAATTTGTTTAACAATCAAAAGCTTCTTAAATTGGCGATCATTTGCTTCATTCTCGTGACTCGTCACTGTGACTCAGGGGTGATATTGTAAGGAGAAATTAGATGCTTGTTACTCTCAGGGGGTCAAAGGGTCAATGATGATAACGATGATGATGGTCTATTGTTTAAGGCCTAGGTACTTTCTCAACGCGAAGAAGGATAGCGCAGAGCAAGAGGGTTCGTAGTTACTAAGGAGGAGGCTTGTACCAACCGCTTCACAAACATACCTTCTGTTCAAGACCTTTCATATCATCTTCCTTCAGTTCCGTGTCACTCAATTCTATAAACAAAGCATAAAATGGCGCCACACTTTTTAGTTCATCACTCATTACGTGATTCTGCGTGCTAAACATAACGCTTTCCGCGCATGTGTAATCTACCATCTGAAGCTTCTGTCCTTCCTCGCCAAGTGCGGCCGTCAGTGCGTCGTAGAAAACGCGCTCGGACGTTTTTTCGGCTCGAACATTGAGTATTTGCCCTTGACGATACTGGAATTCTACTACAGGGCAACTGTTGTGAAAACGAGCAATCTTGACAACATCTCCGATTCTGTAACGGTACAATCCACTAGGGTTTGTCACTACCAACTCATAAAGTTTTCCAACTTCTGTGTTTTCACCAAACAGCGTCTGTAAAACAGAAATTTACGTCACCATATAAGAACAGTTTTGAATTAAACACATGGTACCTGTCGTAAAACTGAAAGCAAAGTTTTGACAACGGCCCATCAAAACCAAGAAAATATGTTACCAGGGGCCAACGAAGAAAAATTAAAAATTTGCAAACTGCTTGGGGCGATAAAACGTGCATCTGATTGGTTGAAAGGGTGGCACGAGTTTTCTGGACCAATGACAGAGCGCAGCGAAGCAATCCAATGGGATCCCAGATTACTATGCTTTGAGCTTTTAAAAATAAGGCACGTTAAATCCTCCTTACCTTCGGCTGTTCTTGACTGCTTTCTTCCACTGGAATGAACTCAAAGAACATTGCGCGGGGCACCAGCATGTAAACTGGGGTCGTTTCTTGTGGCCACAGATTAACTCCGACCAAACCTTCAGTAGATCCGTAAAACGGCGAGTAAATTGGCACGTCTCCCAAATATTTCTCCTTAAGTTTGCTGGCATACAGCTCTGATGAACCTTGGAACGGAGGAGGTAGAGGTATTTGGCTGAGTATCGATGTAATTAGATTGAAACGTCAATTGATTTTTTTCTGGCGATTTAGCTCCTGTATACATGTTATGCGGTCCACTGAAGGTATTTATCAGAGCTTGTCACACAATACCACGTGACGAAGCACGAGCAACCGCGGAAAAAGAAAGTTGTTAATCCAGATTACCTTCAACATCACATCGGAAAATGAATACCGGTTATCGTTGACCCTTTAAACCCTACTATCAGTATGCATATTCTCCATACTGTTCTCTATACATTCCTTAAACTGACGACATGGAGAATTTGTTTAACAATCAAAAGCCTCTTTGGTTAGTGATCATTTCCCTTATTCTCATGACCTCAATGTGTGATTCAGGGGTGATATTGTAAGGAGAAGTTATATGCTGGTCACTTAAGGGTTAAAAGGTTAAAGGAGCGTATTTCACTATAACGGAGGTCGTTATCAGTTCAAGAGAGGAGTCAGGAAAAACGATGATCATTGTCTTAATTCTGTACCCTTGTCTACTTTCTGAAAAAATAAATTAGATCTTTGTTATGGATTAAAAGTATTGAATCAATGTACCTGTCGAGCAAGCCAGGACTAAGTTAATATGTGGCCATACCCTCCTCACAATTCCATCAAATCCATTGGTAAATTCTCTCTCCAGTTCCACAGCTCGTTCTTTGTCAGGTTTGAGGAGACTCTCTAGTTTACTTGGAAGAATAAGAAATACAAAGAATAATTATGAATCATAAAAATAATTAATAATTATAAATCACCTAGAGGTATGGAACAAAATTAGGTCTAACAATCAAAAAAAATAAAAAATTGATGCAGTAACAATTCAGACCACAGGTCACCTCCCCCCAACAAGCAGCTCACCACCCCATCACCCCACAAACATGGGCACTTTGAGGGTAAAGTGCCCTTCTCATAAACACAATACAGTGCCCAGGCTTACTCTTGAGCCTGCAGTTCTTCACCGCAGGGCCAGTGTGCTCACCCAGTTATAATTACCTTCTCACATCTTCCTTGATGTTCAAAATTGGATTCACCCTTCCAAGTTCAACATCCTCCACGAGTGACTTCCACTGAGCCTCAAGTGCAAGAAGCCCTGAATACACCAGCTGAGCAAAATTTGCCTCCAAAATGCCAAGATTTCGATCCTTTAAAGCAAACAGCAAGTGAATATACAAGGCCTCTGGTTCAGTCATGATGTCAAAACCTGCTTTTGGAGTGGTGTAGAGATGGAGGATTCGTTGTGAGTTGCTGGGTGAAGAGGAATTTGGACCAATGGGCAGGCCTGAGGATGTGTAGCACCACTTAGGTGAATAAAAGAACTTCAAGCTTTTCTGCAGCTGGTAAGACTGTTTGGAAAAGTTTCAGAGAAGAAACATTGGTAGATAGCTGATTATTAACTTTTGCTACAGTAATGTATGCATTACAGACAGTCAAGAATACACCATGAAGGGTTTTATTTGATTCTTGCCCTAGGATTTGATTTGTTTCAAATCCCAGGGATTTGATATTTTCTTAACTCAGGGATTTTATTTTTTCTTTACTCAAGGATTCCATTTGTTTCTTGCCTCCAGGATTTGATTTGTGTGTTATCCTAGGGGATTCAATTCCTATCCCAGGAATTTGAACAGTTTCTTTTGCCAGGGATTTAATATATGTCTTACCCTAGGGGATTTTGATTTCCTCTCATTCCAGGGATTTGATCTGCTTTATTCCCCATGTATCTAAGTTGTTTCTTAAATCCCAAAGATTTGTTTTGTGTTTTTTATCCTAGGAATATGATTTGTTTCCTATCACAGGGATTTAAATTGTTTCTGACCCCATAGATTTCCTTTTTTTGTACTAAGGGTTTCCTATCCCATAGATTTCTTTTGTTCCATATACTTGGGATTTGATTTGTTTCACACCCCAGGCATCTGATTGGTTTCTTACCCCAGGATAGGCCTCAAACATGGTATTTATACCAACAAGTACACCATTGGTGAAAAAGATGCGAGGGATGTCATTCGTAGTTGGAAGTAGACTGCTTTTGCCTGAGGTTCCAGAGGTGACACCCAGCTGGTAAGGGTCCTTTGCTGTGAGAACATTCTTCTCACCCTCAGAGATCTTTTCTGTAAGCATAAGGTACATAATTTCATTCTTATATGAAATGTCTAATTAGGACTAAAAGGTATGTTGAGGACTCCAATTTGACAAGATTGTCCCCTGCATGGAAGAGATGGAACTGCAGTGAGGAAAGGCAGTGTGTAAATTTGTATGTCATTTCCTCCTTACAGCATGTCTTTTTCTCCTTCAGTCAGTCAGTTAGCTGATCAGTCAGCCAGTCAGACAGTCAGTCAATCAGCCAGTCAGTCAGTTGGTCAGTCAGTTGGTCAGTCAGTCATTGGGTCACTGAGTCAAGCAGCAATTAAGTCAACCATTTAAGCAGTTAATCCATCAATCAGTAAGTCAGACAGTTATCTAATCAATCGTTCAGTCAATTAGTCATTCACTCATTCATTCAGTCACAATGTCTATAACTTATCATATAAAAAAATAAAACTGCTTTTGCTTTGTCTAATTATATTAATTGCAGTTCTACACACACGCGCAGATCTTGTCAATTCTGTAGTTTTATGATAACACGCCTTACCTATATAAGATTCGTAGTGCTTGTATCTCGTCAGCGGGTGTTGACTGACATACTTGGCCTTGTCGTTAATGCCACCAAAATTGTACTTTAATCCATATTCCGTATCAGCGTTGCTCTTAAGAATCTTAAGCAACGTTTCTTCTTGTACTTGGATGAAACTGATGCTGTCTTTTTCCAACTTTCGTGTCATTCTCGTCCCGAAGAGGGAAAATATGCAGTACTCTAAATGTTGTCGTAGCATCGAACTAAACGTGTGCAGCTCAGAACATCTCTTTCGCCGAATTTGGAGAATGATTCCTAAGACTGACAGTCCAGTTATTCCTACAGCCATACTAACGTAAACCGTTAACTTTCTAGCCGGCATTTTAAGAAAAATTGGATAGATCGTATGTTCGATTACATAATCTGTTCATACAAACACTGGGGTGTGCTGACAAAAAGAGCCTGGGTCCCACTCACTTCATGATTGAATGAAGCAGGGGAGGGGAGGACCGGTACATTTGTCAACTAAGCGTAGTTGATTAACTAGTCCTAAATCGTCCCCTTTTTATATTTCAACGAAAAATTACATTAACTTATAACACCTTTCTTTAAATACAACGGGACAAAATTTGGTAGGGGAAGGTAGGGTAAGTCTTACTCATATACCAGTAGGTGTGTTTTACATAGTTATAGAAAAAGAGGTTATAAACTGAGTTCTAAACAGTCTTATTCTATATTTGAAAATTTAATGACAGCCCATGTTGCACTTATGAAATTCGAAGCATACCAAAGTCCAGAAAAATGCAACCATCAAAATTTTAGACTTCTTTAGGGATCTTAATAATTATTATTATTAATCTTGTGTCTAGGAGAGCACATTGCATGACAGGACCACACACCATTCATATTTCTGGGCCAGTGAACATAGCAATAAGACTGGATACACTGCTTTCTATGATGCTCCAACTTATGTAAGTGAACCGTAAGGACTTCCCTCTCCCACAAGATAAATCTACAATCACTGTCTCAGGATATAGTGGTGAATATTTCAGAATTCATCTTCATATTGAAAGAAAAAATTAAATTTTAATGAAATCAAAACATTTTTTACATAGCCTTTGTTACATGCAACTCATCATGTATCTTAGAAAAATTCAGGCAACAATCTGGCTGGAAGAACTACCATTTTTGATACATCTGTTTGCAGTTTTTATTCAATTTCTTACTTAGGATAATATTTTTTCTATTCTACAGCTAACCAAGGAAAAAAATTTTACATCCTAGTTTACCATTAATTCATCTTCTACAAAGGTAATCAATGAAAATTTTAAACAAAATCTAACTAGGTGTTCTTTGAAATTTTTTGAACAGAAATTGGAATGCTATTGATTCACTGATAACAGTGATTTTAATCTGTGAATTCAAAACCACCAGTCATCATCGTCCTCATCCTCATCCACATCAACACCCTCAAACAACCTGTTGAAACAGCCACTACCTGGAGAGTTGAAATGCTGGTATGGATTACTGCGTGGTAGGTTTGCCATGCACAGCCAACAGAAGTATGTCCGACATTTTAGACATGTCATTTTGTTACAGCCATCAATCTTTTGAATGCTTGCTTTGCAACATGGGCATTGCTTTGCATTAGCATCTAGCCATTCTTCCGAGACCACTTCATCCAACAACCTCTGAAGCTTTCGTTTCCCATAACGTCTTTCTAACAATTGTTTGTCTTCTCTAGAAGCTGCAGAGTATTCTTCTGTTAGCTTCCTTGCATCACTTCCCTTAATTTCGCAAGGAGAAACCCCATGGTAAGTATGCTTACAAAATGCACAAAATGCTAAGGAACACAATGGACAAACACCCATGGATGATTCACTTTCTAGCATGACAGCAGTCTGACATGAGGGCCGAGGACAGTAAACTATATCTGCCATTCCATCAAGGCTGTACTGTAGCAAAAATCTGTCATACTTTGCAAACAATTCAGGACTAACAAGCTGCTTAACTTGAGAGGGCAAAGCTTGAGATTCACACTTTTCTGAAGGACAGTTCAGCGCTTTCACTGCTCCATCCTCGATCTGTACCTTAAAGTAGCCTGCAAGGCAATCCACACAGTACACATGCCCACAGTCATGGAATTCCATGCAAAGTGATCCCGGTTTTTCACTGAAGCAAACATTACATGTAAAATAGCTGCTGCAAAAAACTCTTTCCTTTTCTTGTTGGTTGTACTCTAAAATAGCACCAACCAATTTATTGTGTGAGGCAACATCTTGGAAAGCTCTTGGATCTCCTCTTCTTTTCTTGTTGCTCTGTGCATGGGCCCTCTTGTACTGCAAAGGGAATGGACTGCCAACATTTAACGTTGCCAGAGTTTCATCAAGGAGAAATTGTGTCCATCTGAAAAGGATTACTTCTCCTCCATCATCTTCAGCCCAAATGTCATCAAGACATTTACACAACTTGGACAGCTAAACACATAAATTACTGTAAGTAGTATTATTTACTAAAAATACTAAGATTTCACAACACTTTTGATTAGCACATCAAATAAGTAAGCCCCCCCCTCCCCCAAATGATTTCCAAGTTTCCCCTACATCCCAGCTGAGATTTCAGGAAATTTCCAAATGGCAGCATTCCTTACTTTTTGGTATTGAATGCAACATGATTAGAACTAAGCAACTGCTTGGTACCAAGCTAAAATCATTCCTCACACCAAAGTTGTACATCAAAAACGGAAGTTTTTGTGTGCATCTTAAATAA